GTGGTTTTTGTTAACAGTTCTCCACCATGGATCACTTAATTCGTCTCAAAACCTTGATCAGGGAATCCTTCCTCAAGAGAGAGAGCACTTGTTTCTGTCTTCTTTGATCTTGAGAAGGCTTATGACACTTCATGGAGATTTGACATTTTGTGGGACTTCCATTCATATGGGTTGCATGTCTATTTATCCATTTTTATTTGCAGCATTTTATATGACAGGGGATTTCACGTCTGTGTGCGTTTGACCCTTTTGTCAAACTTCACAGAGGAACTTGGAGCCTCTCAGTGCTGTGTCATATGTGTCACACTTTTCAGTATCAAGATCAATGCTATTACTAAACAACTTCTTCCTACTGTTGCAAATGGCCTCTATGTCAACAACTTCCACATTTTTTGTTGGTTGTAAAACATGAGGTTTATTGAGCAACAGCTTCAGACTGCTCTCACACACTTGTTGATGTGGACTACAGCAAACAGTTTTACCTTCCCTTCTTCTAAAACCGTTTGCATTCAATTTTTCCACCAAAGGGGTTTACACCCCTATCCTAAGCTCCGTCTCAGTGGTATTGTTCTTCCCGTGATTCCTGAGGCAAATTTCTCGAGGTTTATCTTTGAATGTAAGCTTACTGTTATTTCTCAAACTAGGCAGCTTCATGTCAAGTGTTCTCTCTTCATTCTGTTGGGGAGCAAATCGATGTTCTATGCTCAAGATCTGTCATGCTCTCACACATCCCAAGCTAGATTCTGGTTTTCTGGTCTATAGAGGCTTTCTGCCTTGAAGATGTTGAACCCTTCCCATCATCTGGGGCTTTGGCTCTGCAAGGGAGCTTTCTGCCCTTTGCCAGTCCAGAGTTTGTACACTGAGTCCCATTAACGTCCTCTATACCTCAGATGTTTACAACTTACCTTGCTTTATGCTACCAAGCTTCCATCCTTAACATAGCATCCCACCTGGGGTTGTGTCTTCCTTCCTTGGTTAGCTTTGCTCTTTCAGAATTGGCACTCGGCTATTCGCCCCATTTGGCCTTCATATCCAGGCACACTTGGCTGAATAGGTTCTGTCATTGGATGGTGTTGCTGAATCCAATGATCAGACCATTCCTCCTTGGCTCATTACCACCCCCACCTGTGACCGTTCTTTGAGTCAACTGAAAAAAGACAAATACTCCCGATTGGAAGTACCATCTTCTCTTTGCCGAACATCTTTCAAACCATTCTCCTGTTCCCGTATTTACAGATGGTTCAAAATCAGGTGACTCTGTGGGCTCTGCCATGGTTTGTTGTGGCTCAGTAGTTGCTCACAGGATCCTCTGTCTGTTTCTGTGTTCACTGCCGAGTTGTATGCCATTTCTCTTGCCTTGTATCACCTAAAAGGTAAGTGGTACCCTAACTATACTATTTACACTGACTCTCTTAGCTCTCTACTGGCTCTGGAATTGCTTAATATAAGTTCTCACCGTGTTCTCTTAGACATTCAGAAACGGCTGACTCAGTTGTCTCCCTCATCTGTTTCTATCTAGTTTTTCTGGATACCTCACCATGTCTGTATTATTGGGAATGACCATGCTGACACCACAGCGAATTCTGTCTGCTCTGGTGCTGGCATAGCGATGCCTGTACTGCATTTAAGCTTTGGTCCTGTGTTCATGGCCCAGCTTTGCACCAGTTGGCAGACGATTTGTGGTAACTTCACAACAAGCTTTACCAGATTAAACCTGCTGTTCTTGTTTGGTCGTTTAGTTTCCATAAGGATTAGAGAGAGGAAATTGTCTTGGCTAAGCTATGCATTGGTCAAAGTTTTAACCCATCATTTTCTTTTCTGTTGAACTGATCCACCAATGTGTGGCCTTTGTAATACTCAAGTCACAATTGCCCACATTTGACTTTCATGCCATCCTAGCGACTGTGAGCAGTGGCACCATTTTAGACATGTATTTTCTAAGGGATTCTCTTTGATTCTGGACATGTAATTCTTTCAACCTGTTTCAACATTTATATATATTAGCCATGTTTAACTGATCACATTGATTGTAAAAACAGAGTCACACACATTAATAAAGCAACTAAAATGGAATTTGCCAATTAATAGTTCTATATTTTCCTGTGTAGTCCCATTATTTATAGTTCCATGATATCCGTAAATATCGGATCACTATCATCATCGTCATCTTCATCATCACCGTATTGTTACATGTATTCTCACACTCTTCAAACTCCGCTTCAAAGGCACACAACTCAGTGCAAGCTAAGACATTTTTCTTGCAACAACAGAATCCGGTGGCACATTTATTCTTGCTGCAGCCACATTTCATTAATTCAATGGCAGCCTCGGGTGTTGGTGAAAGTTCAGACACTTTTGGAACATACTGTATATTTTCCTCGAGCCAACAGTAATTCTTGGGACTATATAACTCAGAGTTGGGTGTATCGGCTAACCTCCAGACCATTGTCTGATAGTGCATTCTCAGAATGTGTTAATTCAGTGCTGACTTCATAGAAGGGAGCTTTTTGGCCCAGTCTACTTCTTGTTGAACAAGTTCCATCGTATTTTCCCTATGCTCTTGGTGTCTAGCCCAGAAACAAAAAGTGAATAAACGAATTCTTTTAGACCATCCATCACATCAGCTGATGGGTACAATGTTTGTAAAAACTGAGCAAACACTCAAATCCCAAATTACATTTTGTTTGGCTTTACTGAAGAGCTTCCAGCAGGTTTGTTTTCCTTTTCCAGCTATTCGTCCTGTTATATCAGAACCCATGAATGCAGGGAAGCCTATAAGTCCACCTACTACCTCCCCTCGTACAGCATCATATATAGGTTTGAGATTCATTGTTTGCTTCTTAGTTCCTGTGCCCACCAGCATGCATACATTGGCATCTAGTAATGGAAGTTTGTTTAGAGCCAAGACAAAGACATCTGTATCTGGTGACAGAATATGAATCTTACAAACGAAACCCGAGACATTGATGGTGTGTATTGCATTGGATGCCACTCTATCTTTAGTAGCAACAACTATCAGTTTAGTACTCTCTTTGTAGTAGTCCAGAACCTTCTTCACCAGGTAGGATGTTAACTGGTCTTTGTTCTCACAGTTGCTCAAAAAGCGTTTCAGTGGTATATTTAACTGCATTGAATCATTGGCTTCATAGATACAGCCAAATCACAGATTTCTTGTCTTTGATTTCAATGACTGTTTAATATCATATTGACCAAACACAACATGTACAACCTGGTAATATTTAAATTTGTTCTTGACTGACGTGCGGAATTGATGAGCAACACCTGCACAGCTTTTCATTTGGTAAGTAGACGTCTTGTACACCATTGCCATGCTATCCATTACAATAGCCTTCACATCTCTAGAAATCCCATTTTGCTAGTCATCCTCATGTTCAAGTTGTTCTTCCTTTGTGATTTGTCGAAAATTCACCACTTTTTTAGGTAGAAACTCGAGTATAGCCAATAGTTTGATCTTGTCTGTAAATATAGATCTTGGAAGACAAGAGAACTCGTATTCTTCAATAAGTTGTTGCAGATTTAGCTCTGATCGTGTGCGTGCGTTGATCAGTAGATGTGCAAAAAAAAAAATGACAAGTCGGTTTGCTTGTATGACGACTTTCATAGGTTTTGATGCATCTTTCCAGCCCGATAACTTGACTTTACTAATCTTATCCCAGAGATTGGTTGAGCAAACAATTCTTTCTTTTACAGTCTTCTCATAACATTCTTGAATGACGTTTGCATTTCACAGTATGTCATGCTGAACATTTTCTGGCATAACAGTCTCCGTGACAAAGTTTTTGAGACATGTATCTTCCTGGTTGAATGGATTGCACTCTATCAACACTGATTTCACGTTCTGAATGTTACGCTCTTGTTAATTCATGGTGCTTCCTCCTTCGATTTGACGTTATTTTCGCTATCTTTTACATCTCGTTGGAAATACGGGTGGGTTCTAGAGCTATGGGAAAGAATCTTATCAGTGCCGCAGGCTTTTGTGGAATATCCGAGAGTCCACCTTTAACTTTCAATGAGCGATTGATGTGTTTGATGGCATGGTCCACACCGATGATACAATATGGTACTCAGCTTTTTGTGACACAGAAGTGTCCCTGATTTAATTCTTCCCATAATTCCGGGTCATTGTCTTTTACGGCGTACATTTTCGCAAGGCAGAGGAGTGTCATTTGTGAATATTTCAAATATTGTGCAAAGAAGAACAAGTGCAGCAACCAGATTCCTGAACGAGTTGCAAAGATGAAGTTTAGTAGAGACATTACCATTTCCATGTACTGCGACGCCATAATGAACATTGGGTGATTTTTGTCGTGCTCTTCAAATTTCTTGAACTTCTCGTATATACCTTGCTGCTCAAGTATGGCCACCAGCTCAGTGTGTTTTTGTGCCACTTCGCATGCTGTCATTTTTGCACATGTGTCGGACAACTGCTGGAGTGGTTCTCTGATACTTTCCTGCAGATCAGTTTCATCCTTGAGGAACGTCTCCAAATATAAACCAAAGAACACTTATAGTGTTGTGAGGTGTGCCTCAACCGATATTCTCATATGTTTTCCTAACAAGATATATCTAAGATGATATATTGTGGATGATTTTTAGAAGCATAAGAAAACACAGCAAGCGCAATTAAAAAATAATTGATATTTTTCATTTATACCGTATAAGTCATTCTAGTAAGCATTTAAAGTTGAAAAAAATATATCTATGACCACAATTCGTCATTTAGGTTCGGGTAACAAATGGCCCGAAAAAAAAAGACACTTAAAGTGCTCAAAATATTGACACTGTGGTTTTTTTTTGTGTTTTTTTTTTTTGGATCAGAACACTTCTCCCTACAAAATTAGGTATAGTGCCAGAAATTAACATCCAGTTCCCACTGATTTACACAAGCCCCTACAATATATATATCCTCGATACTTGTGTTTGTACAACAGGCATTCATCTAAATTTCATCATGTATACTCTGCCTAGACAATTTATCAAAGAACAACAATTTTCATATTTCAATTTGGAGTGTATAATTTGCGTTTAATAAACCATAACCAAAAATACATGATTTATATATTAAAAAATTCAGTAAACTGTAAACGAGTTCTCCTGTTTTCTGGTTTTGGTTCTAGTTCTGGTTGTTATTTATATTATATGGAGAAAGTTGACAATTTATTAGTTACCTAGACGCTAAAGTCTAAACTATAGTTACTTCTAGTTCTGAAGATTCTGAATGATCTGTGTTTTACTTTTACCCAAACTGGGCAGAACTTTAATATTACTATAAACGAAAAGGTAAGTATATGATATACTGAAAGTATAATTCACAAAATTTTAAAAACTTCTATAAGAAATGTTACTATTTGCTGGCGTTGTTTAACTTAGTATAAGTCTAATTTGAATTGAGCTGTGCAGTAGTATAGTATACTTGTAATAGTATTACTAATACTATTAGTAGTAATAACGTAAGAGTATCAAGACGTGATTTAATTAGGAATAGTACAGACTTAATTCGTACATTAGAAACTTTTTTAAACTTAAGAATTTAGCATAAATAATTTTAACATTAACTTGATTAAGGCATGTAAGTTAACTCATAAATGTATGAAATTGTAACAATAGATCATTAGATGAAGAGCTGGTCTTGTGTCGTTTCTCTGGAGAGTTCACTTTTTTCTTTCTTAAATACATTAATATGAAATGATTTGTTACTGCCAACATTACTTTATTAATATTTGGTATAATGCTGGCAGTAGCATTACTTAGTAGTGAAAGAACACGATATCGGATGTAGCAGTTAAAAGTTAAGGAAGAAAAACACAGTCAGTGGAACAAAATATTATTCAGAAGACTTGAAAGTTGAATTTGAAATTAAAGAAACTAGTTTGATGCAATTGTGTATCCTCTTCAGTCTGATAAATGTGTCAAATCTTGTTTCTAAATCTAGTAATTTTAAGTCATTTGAGTGATAGTTTGTTCCATTGTCTCTGGGTTTTTTTTCACAAACTTTTTTTTTAATGTTAGCTGAGTCTGACTTTGACTTTTTAGCACATAACTTGTTATAAAGTTTGGAATGTAACTCAACTGATTTTACACGTTTTCAAATTTCACACAGCTTTACATGGAGACAATTTGAACCATTGAAAAAAAATGAACTGTAAATATTTGGGGGACCAAAGCCTCCAAAAATATACTTTGGAATTTTTGATAAAAGAGGGCAAAATATTCCTCTCAGAGATAATGTTCTACTCATTGTAATTTTTCTTTTTGAACAACTACAAAGTATATATATTGTCATTATGACTCAGACATATGCTGTTTAATTATTCAGATATTTCACTTAGACTGTAAACATTGTGTGGTTTATTCTGAGTAAACTTAAATTTATATTCATCCATCTAGTTTATTTTTCTTAACTTTGTTATTACACAAAGTTTTTTAACTGTTGAAGTCTTTTGCTAGATAAAATTTTTTATCACAACACTAAATAAGTAAATGTTATGAATTGATAACATACATAGGCCTATCTCACTGTAAAGAAACTAAATCAGCAGAAAATTGTTATTATGCTTGCAATAAAACACTCATAGTTATCTGATTAAGTACATAATACGTCTTTGTGAAATCAGTGAGAATATATTTTAAATTTAAGTCAGTTCATTTCTAAATGTAGGCCAAAACAACAATGCTTGTTCCTATATCTCTCTGTATAGGTAATTATGTTATTGAGTGACGTTATAGCATTTCTGTGGAAGTTAATAATTATCACAAAATATGATAATAATTACAATAGTGAAACAATGGAATAGGTTGTAAAAAAATGAAGTACACATTCAGAAAGAAAAAAATATAAATGGCATTTGTAAATTATTAATTCAGTTGTATGCATTTTGCCCAAAAGAGGCCATCAGTGTTAAAAAACACTTTCTTCCAGTTCAAGGACATCTGACACTGTTGCTCCAGATCTTAAAAATGTGAGATTATAGAGAGAGACTGGTCTATCATTATGAAGATACACCAAATTTCACACTTTTTACTTCTTATAAGGAAGCAGCTATCAGATATATGGCTGGTTATGTAGTCAAAATGGCACTAAAAAGAATGCACATTACAGATTGTTAGGAGGCCTTCACAGATGAAAATTCTAGAAACTTGTCAATTTTACATTATTAGCCTACTTTGATCTTTAGTTCCAGAATTTGAGATCTAGATGGCATGCTGGTGGAAGCTTATGCATTTTCTTTAAATTGTTACTGTAGTACTTCTTCATCGCAAGCTTTTCTGTACTTGCACAGTGTATCAATTTTGGAATCAGTATGAATGGTGTGCATTTTTTGGATACTAGGATCTGGCACTATATTTGACCATGGGTCAATTTTTCTTTTATGTTCTTCTTAATTTCAATTAAGAAAAATGAATAAAGCTAGCTGGCTAATGTCTACATAACCAAAATCTTCTGAACTTTTGACAATAAGGGAACCTTTCCCTTGCTCATAACAACCTGATGCATGGATGACTTAACTGTACCTTCACTTCTATAAACTACTACTTTGCCATAAAATGTGGCAATTTATTTCCAAGAAAAGTTTCTTGTGTTTTGAAGCCAACAATTGAAGCAGTCTGAATCATGTATTGATTTTTAAATTGTGAGGATGGTCCATCAGTCCTGATGACTTCATGCTGTACATCATATGTATATACATATGTAAATCAAAAACATTACAAAGAGACTCAAAAATCAAAATTAATTTTTCCATTACCAGTCTTTGGTGTCATCATTAAAACTCATAAAAGATAATGTCTGTAGCCATAGTACCCACATGCATCGGAGATATTCCATCTATCAGACAAGATCCAGATACCAGCGTCAAGCTAACCAGCAACTAAGGAAAATCAGTTAAGGGTTTGGAGTTAAGTGCTTGAACCCACAATATCTCAACTCCTACTGCCTTTTGCTGTCTACAGCCAGTTGTGGGAAGGCATTTATCCTTAATATTTAGATACAATCTTAACGTAGAAATAAACCACCCTCAATCTCTACAATGTAAGATTCTCAACTAAATCTAAAAATAATGCTAATGAAGCATGGCACAGGTAGTAAGAAAAGAAGCTATACTCCTATTCACCTCAATAATGCACCACTTATGACATGCCCCAGTAGATGAGCTTCAGTTTGTAGTTTATTAAAAACTAGTTTCCGTTAAATGTATTAAACTCAGTATTTTAAAATTATCAGCAAAATAAGAGAAGTGCAATCATTATGATAATCTGTGAAATTTCTTTAAACAGATACTGTCTTTTATAACCTTAAACTCGGAGTTGGGGGGGGGGGCATAAACATATTTCTGCCTAAAAGTAACATGAAATCACAATCTTTTTTTCTTCGAGTTTATCTTTAGTTGTGAAGCTATTTTCCTTTTAATCTTAATCTTTTGATTTCTGTGAAGTCTTCTTAATGTGTGATTTCATAGGATTGGTTTCTTGTATTCTATTATTTTTTCATGTATTTCTAGGATCAGGTATGTCTTACTGGTTAGCATGCCAGACTGTCAATTGAAAGTTCCATAGTTCATGAATGTTTTAGAAGAGCTATGGTCAAATTTCACTATTTGATTAGATTAGCCCAACAGTTCAAAATTAGGGATCGTAGTGCAGATAGCCCTTGTGTAGCTTTGTGCAATTATCCAAAACAGACAGTCATGTAATTTTGGTCATTGATTTCTGATATGGTACATTACCTCTTCTCACATGTATAGGTTTCTCATTCAGTGCTGCCCTCTATATGCAAAATTTTTTCCATGCCACAAACCTTGAACTCCCACATACCCCACAATCAATGTGATTCAACTGTGTCTCAACTGCATGTAAATCATCATGCAACAACCATTTTTTCTCCCAACAATGTTTGGGTTCCTTCTGCATTGTCCAAACCTCTTCACGATGAAGAGGATTTTGACAGTTTTCTTTTCCTCCTAATAACTTTGCCATGTCTTCCCATACATCTCCTAGGAAATCTACTAGGCCTTACTATACCTTTTTGGATATGCTTTCTCAGGGGTGTTTTGTTTTCACCATTTTCATATGATCCTGTTCCTTCCTTTTTTACATGACACCCATCATGTGGGTTCCTTGTTTTCTCTCCGTCCCTTGACATCAGGGTTCATGCTTAGCATTTTGTTTCTCTGTTGAGGTCTGGTATTAGTGTGCCTTGTCCTGTATGGACTTCTGATCTTTATACTTTGGCTTATTAGCAAGCTGATCAACCCTTTCTCGACTTCCAGCAGTTGGAGTCACTTTTGCCCATGGGGGGGCTGTCCATGATAATCCTATCCATTTTCTGACCTTCATCTCCAGCATCACTTGTCCAACATACATCTCTTTTATAAGGCATTTCACCAATCCCCTGAGCATTTTTTGGGGGGAGATGCACTTTCTCTCCTTCCTCCTTGGTGCTATAGTCTTCTTTGGCCCTATCCCTTCACATGTGGTTTTGTTGCTCTTGGGAAGGATGCTGTCTTTTCACAGGTTCATCTACTTTCTCTTTATCTTCGTGACTTCCATATGGCTCTTTTTATCCATCTGTTTGTTCTGTATATGTGTGTCCAGTCCTTGGTCACACATACGGTCTCTGAGTCCACAGTCGACCATTTAGTCTTTGGTTACTCGTTTTTCTTATTCTGATACCATGACCTCTCCCATAATCACTTCTTGTCCTGCATCTTCCCATACTTTATAAGTTTTACCCACTAGGGGTTCAAAATTTTGCTTTGCTTCATTTTCTTCCAACACATCATGCTCCATTCCCACAATTCCACTGTTGTAGCTAATTTCAATCATTATGGGGGCACCCATTTCTGTTCCCTTTATGGCTGAACATTGGACTTCCTTTATTGGGCCCATACACTGTGGATAAATCTCTTTGTGTGTCCATTCTTCCTTCTCCTCATTTTCTCTTCTGTCAATTTCCCACCTTTATTTCTGGTGTGGTCCAGATAGCCTTCTGTGTCCAGTATATGCTCATTGTTGTACCATTGCCCAGATATCCTCCATTAGTAGTTTCTGTTTCCACCTTATTATTCCCTAACACCATTCATCTGTATATGACCTTTCTTCTTCTATCCTTATGACTTGGGACTGTCAACTGCTTCATTTGGTCTATTGCTCCCTGTCTTTTGCTTCTCAAATTTTGTACTAGGTGTCTTTGCTTAAGATGAAACACTTTCCCTTTTTCCTGGAGGAAACTCTTCAGTCAAGCACTTGGCCTACTCTTCATATGTTCTTCTCACACTATCTTC